GTGTAAAGAATAGAGAATAATGCGTGCTACAATGTAAAGAATGAGAATGATGGACAAAAAAAATATGAAAATACAGTTAAAAATGACAGAAAAATAAAGACCCCCCCCTCCGCCCCTCCAGACTCTTATACATGTACAACATTTATTATATTGACGTTTAGATTTCGGCAATTCCAATATTTTAATATAGCAGATTGAGCCCCCAGTCATAGTTCTTACATGGTATATCAGACTATATATATTAAACTTATATACTGATATACTTTTGACCTTATATCAGAACGAGTTGAGAAGCCGTTACAACAATAATGTGGAAGTTAATGATAACTGTTGTATTTCTGTTAGTACTCCATGCAGGTATGTGAATACATATATTTTAGACATTTCTGAAGTCAAAATACATGACTATACTAATTATAAAATAAGGAGAGGTGGTATAATTGCTAGTGACACAACTAACCAAAAGAGTCCGAATAACGTGGGTTTAAGCAATCATAGGTCATCGAACGGCCTTCAACAATGAGCAAAACCCATACCGCTATAAAAAGTCTGACATGACAAAGTTGAAACAATTTAAATGAATATATTAAAGACCTGATTTATAACAAAACAATAAAGGAAAAGCAGAATAAACAAACAGCTACCAAAGACAATCATGCACTGATTTACAGGTTTCTAGCTGTTAAGTTAATTATTTCGAGGTTTTGGTCACGGAATCATTTGATTTTTTTCTGTATAAATTGGAATGTGCACATACATGTTTTTGTGCTAAGTTATTTCGAGGTTTTAGTGAATGGTTAGCAGCTTTTTCTGTGTAACAAGTTAACAAAATTTCTTTGCTATTTCGATTTGCTGTACAATATCTGATGTGTACCTTAATCGTAGGCAAGGGGTTAAGACGACTGCCCAATCTGAACACAAAAAGCAAAATAATTGTTGTCATTGTTCTAGCAAGAATTGCATATCATTACATGACAATTCTAATGTCGGCCCTGGTTTCATCCCGAGACTTTAGTAACGGATCCAGGCCTTTTGCCCGAGGTCACGATAAAGGTCTAGAGATGATACCAGGGCAATACAAAACTTCTGTGTAATGATCTATTAAATAATTAATCCTATGACATTAGATATAGGAATGTAGACTAGTGGTGTGATTGCTGATGAGACAACTCACCTCCAGAAACCAAAATGATGTAGAAGTAAGCACCGTACAGCATTCAACAATGAGCAAAACCAATACTGCATAGCAAGCTATAAAAGGGCCCGAAATAACAAATGTAAAACAATTCAAACAAGAAGACTAACTGCTTGATTTATGTACAAAACAATAAACGAAAAACAAATATGATCTAAAGCAACAAACAAAGACCTCTGAATTGCAAAAATCACGACATAAGAACAAACTATCAAATTTAGTTGAAAATGGCTGAACTCTTCAGATCGATACAAATCACAAAAAAAAAAATGAAACACACAAATTTGAATAAGTTTTTTGTCTTTAACTTTGTGTTTTTTCTTCGTTGCTTTTTAGGAAATGCTATGCCCTTTAATTTTTCAGTTGTTCCAATTAATTTCTTGCCTTTAGTTGTTTATTTTTAACTTACATGTTTGTATATTTCTAATTTGTAGAAACCTGTGCATCCCAAGATTGCAGTGACTGTGTCGATAGTATGCAGCATAAGTGTTTTGCTAGTCCTTGTCTTGGAGTCGAATGCCCAAGTGGCAAGAAATGCTGGTTAGTATATATACATATGTCAATATGATGTATACATGTAACAGTTGTTGTAATATGTTTAACCCCTCCGCATGTTTGGCCTGTCCCAAGTCAGGAGCCTCTGGCCTTTTTTAGTCTTGTATGGTTTTTTTTTTAATTTTAATTCATTTATATGTTTCGGAGTTAAGTGTGACGTCCATTTTCACTGTACTAGTACAAATTTGTTTAGGGGCCAGCTGAAGCCCGCCTCCAGGTGCGGGATTTTCTCGCTGTGTTGAAGTCCGAATGGTGGCCTGAGCTGTTTTCTGCTCTTTGGTCGGGTTGTTGTCTCTTTGACACATTCCCCATTTCCATTCTCAGTTTTATGTAACAGTTGTTGTAAAATGCCGAATGACATACGAATCCCCACCAATCAACAGCTAGATTCCGAGCCCACGCTTAACTTAATTATATGGATTTGACGCTCCATTCTACTTTCTGTTCTGGTAATTTTTTATTTACATCAGTCAATGAAATTTCGGCCTTCACATTCTTGAAGATGTGTACCAGAGGATTCCAAAAGTCTTTCAAACAGAAAGTAGAATGGAGCGTTGTCATATCCATATCTTTTTACGTAAGAAAAATTTTCAAAATGTTCAAGAGACAGTATGCTTATTTTAAAATAAGGAGATGTGGCATGATTGCCAATGAGACAACTATCCCCCCAAAGTTATGCTCAGTTTTTGTTTGTAAGGGAGCTATAAATTTGTTTGAGATAAAATTATCGAAATATGCCTTATTAAGCTGAGAACAACCCAAACTTTAAAAATTTTAGGTGGGGGGGGGGGGGGGGACGCCTGTCATGCCCCAGCCTGAATCCGCCCCTGTGAGGTATATACATGTTCTTGATATATGTGAATGAGACAGTAATCCAACAACAGAAATTGAACTTAAAAAAACAAACTGTTTATCTTAATGTGTTTAATGTGTATCATTTCTTCTTTTTTCAGCACAGACTACTGTGGGGGATGTAATTATCACTGTGTATAAATCTATGAGAGCTGGTTGTAGGTTAAGAGTGGCTGTTTGAAAATAAATGGTTATTGAAGGTTTTCATTTATCTCTTATTATTTTTCAATATCCAGTATACTATTAAATTTCAAACATGCAAAAGTTTTAAATGTCGGACCAAATTTGAAAATAAAAATAAAATCTTAACAAGTTTGCACAAGAGGCTATCAAAATAACAACAAACTGTATTGTATAACATCTATTAGTGTCATTGTTAAATCAATGAAATAACTCCTGAAGGGCAAAAGTGAAAATTGTTAAAATCAAACTTGATCTTTATTTTTTGTCACCAGTGACAATATATGAGGGTCTGGATAAGGGTCCTACATTTTAAGAAATCTTAATTTTTTAAGCCATTTTTCTCTATTCTTTATACTTTTTGCCCATAGTTCTCTATTCTTTATATTTTAACACCTCATTATTCTCTATTCTTTATATCTTAACACCTCAATATTCTCTATTCTTTATTTTTTTGGTCCATTTTTCTCCATTCTTTATATTTTTTACCCTTTATTCTCTATTCTTACACTGTCACCTGTCTGCTGTATAACCACAAATCAATAACTATATTCCCATCTGAAAACCAGGCTAAAAATTACAGACGCACCATGGTTGCATAAGCCAAGTTGCAATTTGTATAGATTAACTGATGTATACATCCTTGACCTTTGATCAAAATCAAAAGGTGTGTTTATCATCTCACCTTACATATGCATTACCAACTAAAATTTGATAAAAGTTGAACATATGATTAAAAAAAAAACACCTAGTCACAAACATTATGCCAAATTTTGGTCTAAGAATAACTGCTGTCACCATGACATTTGACCCCTTATTCGAAAGCTCCAAATAAATTTACCCCATTCTGTAGGGCATTATCAAACCAAAATTTGGTAAAAGTTGGACACATGGTCCAAATGTTAACATCAAGAAACCTTATCATTTTTCCAAAATTTCAGTTAATTAATAGCTGTTGTGAAATTGACTTTTGATTTCAAAATACTTAGGGGTCTTCATCTTCCAACTCTTATTTTTAAAGATAATCAAAATCATAATGACTCAAAAGGTTTTATCCAGATATAGCAAGGTTTACACTGGAAGACATTCATTATATTTTGACTTCTTATCAACCCAGATAATATTAAAATAATAATGTTGATGGATCAAGCTTTTTATTTGTTTTTTTTTTTATTTTAGCCATCCATCACAACACATCAAAACAAAACGAAGAGGATGCATCAATTCTATTTTATTTTGAAGAATTTTGATCAGTGCATCTGATAGTTTTCCATTGTACCCCAGTTCACCATTCCTAGATAGATTTCCAAAGTAACTCAGTTCACCTTTCCTCTATAGTTCTCCAAGGTACCCCAGTTACCCTTTCCAATTTGTATCAAAATGGTAGTGGATGGAAACTTCAAAATCATTGCTACAAAAGCCTGAAGTAGTCAAAAGTTGCATTTTGTAACAAAGGAGTAGTGGATAATTTAAGTCTTATCTTTGATATGAAAGCAGAGGCCTGGGGGCCGAATGGTCTAAGTAGTTCAACTACTGAATTACTAGCCTGTCAACACTGAGGTTGTGAGTTCAAACCCTGCATGTGGCAGGTGCGCTCGACTCCCATCTCAATTGACAAGGAATGTCAGTTTGCCTGCCAAAGGTCCATGGTTCTCTTGGGACACTCCTGGCTTCTTCCACCAATAAAAACTGACTGCCAAAAAAAAGCCAATACTGAAAATAGCATAACACACCAATAAATCAATCACTTGATTATATGAAGGCTAGATCTATCTAATACTATTGGAAGCCCCATATTGTTAAACTCAAAATATATAACACATGTAACATGAGGTGAACAATTTCTTATTAAAAATCTTTTGGATAGAACAAGGAATGAACTGTAAAATTGACAGAAAACTGTTTTTTTTTTTGTATTTTGAAAAGTGAAAATTGTCAATATTAAACTTGACCTCCATTTGTTCATCAGTAACAACATATTAAAATTTTTAAAGCATTGGTCAAGTAATTCATAAGAAACTGCATTAAAAAAAAAAATGCCATTTTCCAATAGATCAAGGACCATAACTCCTGAATGGTAAAAGTGAAAATCCTTAATAGTGAACATGACTTCCATTTTGTCATCTGTAACATTTCAAAACCATTGCAATTGGTAGAAGGGTTCATAAGTTATGAACAGAAATGACAAAAAGTGCCATTTTCCTATACATGAAGTCAATGTGATTTTTTGTTTTATTTCAAAAGGAATTCAACATATTAGAAACAATTAACAACCAAATAAAATATATATGGTATTACACTATAATAGTATATTAAAAAAAAAACACACACAGTGTACATGCAAACAGTCATACTTTTGGTAACTGATTGTTGCCTAATGTCTAACTTTCAATGCAGACAAAATTATTTATGAGACTTAAAAACAATTTCTAGACAAGTTGAAGTTGCGTAAAACTATAATGTATTATTTATATTGAAGAGAAACTTCCTAGAAATTTCAATTTATGCAAATTTTGTATCAACTGAAAGCTGAAAATTTACAGATATTCTTAAAGTTGTAATGAATAATTTGCATAATTATGTTACACAGTAAATAAGTAAGTTATCAGTAGAGTGTGAGCATAAGAAATTCCTAAGGGAAGTTCCTGTTTCAACAAGTTTTGACTTCTTGGAACAAGTTTTCTCTTATATGCAATTCAATGCTGATTTCTGTTGAGCATACATTTAGCAAAGATACAGTCGAAAGATCATATAGGAATCAAAGGGGCAATGAATTAGTGTTTTATCCTGCAGTATAAAAACAGTTGTGACACCATGATTTATTCATTAACAATCATAGAATGTTTAATATATTGCTAATAAAGATTACAAATTTTAAAGTATTACAATTTATATTATATGGGTAGATTTAGGTATTAGTGTAAACACCTACATCATTGAACAAAATAATAAATAAAGCAAATTGCTCGTCCACAAATCAACATAGTGTCAAAATATAATGTCAATCCCCCTGAAGTAAATATATGTCATGCCCCTTGAAGTAAATGCAATGTCACACCCTTTGTAGTAAATTTAATAATGTCACGCCCTGAAGTAAATGAAATGTCACGCCCTGAAGTAAATGAAATGTCACGCCCCTTGAAGTAAATGTAATGTCATGCCCCTTGAAGCAAAAATTCTAAATTGGGCCAAAGCCTGAATTAGATCAATGACATTCAATAACATTGGAAAAATTACAAATAAAAAATAAACAAGCAAACAATAGATACTTCAATCTTAAATATTGCACGATAAAAATAACATTGATCACAGGCTGTCAATAGATTGGTTTCTACTGACACAATTTGAACAAGAGTTACTTCCCTTTTATCAACATGTTGGAGGTCTAAATGCGAAAATTTCTTCATAAATTAGCCAAATTTAACTTGTTATACTGATTACTAGACTTTAGAAACAGGTTTTTTTTAACCATTTTGATATAGCTTTGCTTAATTCATCCCTACGATCAAGTTAGGTCTCTTATCAGACTTGTGTGTATTGCATGTTTCAATTTGGTAAGTCAAATCAAATAACTATTGAAATAAGATAATAAACCGTTAATCCCTCCAAAATGACAGCCAAGGGAAATAAAGCAACTCAAATTACGTCATTCGAAACCTATAGCTATATATAATTAAAAATTACCATGAACAAAAACTCTTTTTTATTAAAAAAAACAATACTGTAAATTCAAAAACATATGCCCTGATTTATCATGGCAACAAGTGTGACTATACGTTTAAAAAAAACTTGAATCCTTACTTTTGATAGAATTATTTAAATGCAGCATTTCTTTAATACATTATACCGGTAGTCTAATTAGTAGTTTTTGCCCATTGTTCAAAATCTCACTAATAAGTGCACACAATAATTTCTGAATTTACTTTCTCTTTTTAAACATAATGTTTGTGATGTCTGAAGAATTTTTTCAAAACCTGTCAAAGAAAGTCAGTTATTATTAATGATTATCATAACAACTCATTCTACATGTAAATTATCATAACACAATGTTTCAGTGAAACTCATAACTTTTGTAATGCTTTACCCTCGAGGTACAGCTGTTGAAATTCCAAACCAATTTCCATTTGAAGTCTTCCGGGTTTATTTCAATGAGATCCATGGATAATGAGATGTACCAAGTGTTTATTGAGTTTAGAATGTAACAAAGTACATGAATAATGGAAATAGCCCCCAGTCCATTGTATCATTAACAAAGGCTTAAAACAAATACTGACATAAACATGATCAAATAACAATCAAAATAAAAACGAAATATAATATTTCTATTAATCATACAGATTTAAGTTTCTTGTCTTTCAGTTTCTTCACTATCATACCTGGAACTAACGCCACAACTGCTATAGCACCTAATTTCAATAATGTCCCTGAGGTAAATATATCATTTGTAGATTTGATCTCTGATAACATTCCACCAGTTTGCACACATATAAAGTTAAATGGCATCAAACCTACAAAAAAAGCAAACATATTTGGTATTCACTGGCATATTTACATTGACATGACAGGTGACACATGCAGATTTCACATTGACATGACAGGTGACACTTGCATATTTACACTGACATAACAGATGACACTTGCATATTTCACATTGACATGACAGGTGACACTCATATTTAAATTGCCATGACAGGTGAAACTTGTTGATTTCAGATTGACATGACAGGTGACACATGCAGATTTCACATTGACATGACAGGTGGCATCTGCATATTTACATTGACAAGACAGGTGACACATGCAGATGCCACGTACACGACATGTGGCATCTGCATATTTACATTGACATGACAGTTGACACTTTTATATTTACTGACATGACAGGTGACACTTTCATATTTACATTGACATGACAGGTTACACTTTTATATTTACACTGACATGACAGGTGACACTTTTATATTTACACTGACATGACAGGTGACACTTTTATATTTACACTGACATGACAGTTGACACTTTTATATTTACACTGACATGACAGGTGACACTTTTATATTTACACTGACATGACAGGTGACACTTTCATATTTACATTGACATGACAGGTGATGCATGCATAGCCAGAGACACTTACCCTGTAGAAGCAACCGGTTTGATTAGTACATTTTTTTTTCTTTTTCTTCATGTTTGTATGGAGTCCTATAGTGTATTCAAACAGATAAAAAAGGTCAGCTGAGCTGAAATGGTGAGCACTTGAATAACAATAACTAATTTTGGAATGATCTTAAAAAACATTAATGACATAAGATTAGAATAAAATGTTTAACTTTTTCTTGAGGATCCATTAAGATTTTTCCAGTATTGAAGAATGTGTCTATGGGACACAGTTGCCCCTGCTTGTAAATATGCTAGAGTCAATATACTACTAATTCAACATTTTTTTCATTTATAAAGGGACATAACTCAAGAAAGGTGGAAGTGACACCACCTTAATATGGACTTGATCTGTGTTTGGTGGTAATAAGCATTTTGTATAAGTTTTGTAACATTTGGTTGTGGCAAAGTAAAGTGAGAGTGCATAAACTACAAATTCAGCATTTTTTCCATTTATAAAGGGACATAACTCCAGCATGGTGAAAGTGAAGCCACCCAAATTCAAAATTAGATCCTATTTGGAGGTAATTAAATTGTATATAAGTTTCATAACATTTGGTTGAGGCAAACTGAAGCTTGAGAACGGAAACCAATTGCGGGACAAACGTACAGACAGATGTACTGACTGACAAGGGTAAACCTTAATGTCCAATTGCCTGGCAGCTGGGATGGGGCATAAAAAATATTCTTTGATTCATGATTTTTTTATTAGTTGTTATTGGCTCTTTGGCTCTGCTATTGGATTTTCTCATTTGAATTGTTTTACATTTGTCATTTCAGGGCCATTTATAGCTTGCTGTGCTGTTTGGGTTTTGCTCATTGTTGAAGGCCATTTAGTAACTATAGTTGCTAGCTTTTACATTGTTTGGTCTCTGGTGGAGAGTTGTCTCATTGGCAATCATATCACATCTTCTTTGTTCTATTAAGAGAAAAAAAAGTCTGATGCACTAGAATGAATGCAATTGGTTAGACAAATGACATTGTTCAATACTAATCAACTTCTGAGACTGCTTCCCTACTCTAAATGTTAATAATCAGAAATATGTTTTGTTCTTTTGTTAGACTTACCTATTAATACTGATAGGAAGAACATATGAATTGGTACATTCACTATAGGTGATGCCATATTTAGAAACCAATTAGGTGTCATAGGAAAAAATCGTAAAAATAACAAGAAAAACATTAAACTGTCTCTGTTTTCTTCTACCTGGAAAAAATGTATGACAAAATAAAGTGATAGAACATTATTTCATAGTTGTCATCCTTCAAAACCTCCAAACAGAGAGAACTCACCCTCAACAAAAATGTTTTGGCGGAGATTTACCGTAGCCCCATTTCATATTTCATAAGCTACTTTCTTTTATTTGTAGTAACAACAAAAATGCAAGTAAAATATTTTATTTTGACATTTAATATTTTGTTAGATTTTTTGTTGTTGAGATCAGGTGAATTGACACATATATATGTTGTGGTTACCTATAGTTGCTTACATCAATATTATTTGGTTTCTGGTGGAGAGTTGTCTCAATGGCTATATCATACCACATCTGGCACGTCTTATTTTATATATAAGAGCTGTTCCAAAATGATGGGTGGTTTGGGTTAATTTTCAAACAGCCCTTAGTTGATTTGCCTATAGTCATGAACCAATACAGCTCTAGAAATGTATTACACATATTTGCATATAATCATGATCTGATACCAATTCCATAGGTCATGTAGGTCATAAAGATATGTTGATTTCTGTTTTCAATATGTAATATTTACAGTAGGTGTTCAACTTCTACCTACAACTGCTGATCTTTTATTAGATTAAAGACAAATCATTTGATTCCATCATATTTTTTCAATTTGTATGAAAACCACCCAGGGTTACAGAATTATGACCTCTGACCACATAACAAATCATCACTATCGTTTTGCATTGTTTGTGTACTTCCTGCAAACTGTCAAACTTGAAAAAACAACATAAAAAATATGGAGGAGCTTGTAGTTCAGTGGTTGTCGTTGGTTCATGTCTGTCATATTTGTTTTTTTGTAAACTGTTTTGTTATAAATTAGGCCTTTAGTTTTCTCAATTGAATTGAATTGTTTCATATTTTTCATGTCAGGGCCTTTTATAGCCGACCATACGGTATGGGTTTTTCTCATTGTTGAAGGCCGTATGGTTGCCTATAATTGCTTACATCCACTTCATTTGAACTTTGGTAGATAGTTGTCTCATTGGCAATCATACCACTTCTCCTTATCTTTATTTAATAGATGTAGATACAAATATATAAATTATTTGATGATAGATTGTGTCCTTTTGTCAACAATTTTTGGAATTCTTTAAAACTGCAATTCATAACTGACAAAAAATACAAACCTTTCCTTGTAGAAAGTGAACTTTATCTGGAAAGAATCTTTCAATGTGCTGCTTGCCAAAATATTTAGACAAAAGATAGCAACATGAGGCCCCAGTGGCTGATAAAACACACACTAGAGGAAACGATGTCCATACACCAAATAATGCTCCACCTAATAAATTCTGTAACAAAAAATAACATACAGATCAACAATTGCAGGTGTTAATACAAAAATAAAGTTATTTCGGATAAATTCTGCAATCAATTAATTTAGAAATCATTGTGGTGTTTTTATTGATACATGAAGAAGTGTTTTAAATACTGTAAATTCAGAAATTATTGCGAGGTTTTTATTAATGCGAATAATGCGACTGGGTGAGTATCATAATAATAAGAACTCACATTCTGATAACTGAAATATAGACCTGTATGCACTTTTTTTTTTCGAAATTGCAATAATAATAATTTTTGTCCATTCTTGAAAAATCGCAATAATAAAAGACGCAATTATTTCTGAATTTACTGTACATTGTTCAATGCAATTTAATGAAATGGTCTGCTGTCCCACATAGCATAGGATGCAGGGTTTGTCTAGCAAACTCCTTCTTTAGATTTCAGAATGCTGACTTTTCATTTTCATGGGAAATTAGACATTCATCCAGCTGACACCTCATACAGTTTTCAATCTAAAACATTTAATTATGCAGGATGTCAGTACATTAAAGATACTAAATGTTATAAGAATATGCATATTGTGAGGACTGGGTAGGACAAACATCAATTAAAGTTAAACAATGTTTTAATTTTAAGAATCAATAGACCACTTTCGAGTTTGTTGCATTTCCGTCAAAAACTTTGGTTTTAGTGAACATTATTTGTGCATTTAGAGGCATCGTCACTTCCTTCCTATGTTGAGCAAGCGGTTGAAAAAATATGATGGTATATTGCATGAATTATTCGGCAAATTAAATTTTTATAATTGATAATCAGCACTGCTGTCATTAGGGAATTGTGATTAAGTACCTACAGAACAAACATTATTTCTATTTTATCCTGAATAATGACGATCATGAAGACGCTTGAAGAACTTTAATAGTACAGGGATACAGGCGATCCCCTCTATCTGGTAAATGACGTCAGAAAGGTGCGCATAATATATATACTTACTATATGTGTACTTACCAGGAATACAGAGCCAGGAATAGCAAATGTTTGTTTATATACGTAGGCACTACAGAATAACAGTAAAACATAGAGTGAATGTTCTGTTTTATAAAGCTGCAGTGTGGAGGCTAATGATGTCAACTCTTCTAAATTGGATGGAAATGTTAATCTGGAAAACATCAATATGTTTGCATTGCAATTAAACTTAATAATAAGGTGTTATTAAATTCCAGTATTGTTTATAGGCCCATGTATAAGATTCCAGGTTAGCTGTATTACTCTCCCCAAGAGCCATAATTGATGATACTGGAAAATGGTAGCATCTGTATTAAGGTTTATTATACACATTTTCAGGCCTTTTATAGGTTTCTATATGGTATGGGTTTTGCTCATTGCCGTACAATCACCTTTTGTTGTTTAGATCTACCTCATTTATATGGTGGATAGTTGTCCCATTGACAATTCTTACTTTTATATATGTCACATGTAAGGATTTTGTTGCTGTGTTGAACATGTTGAAGACACATTGGTGTCCTCAGGCCGTTTTCTGCTCTTTGGTCGGTTTGTTGTCTCTTTGACATATTCCCCGTTTCCATTCTCTTTTCTATAAACACACAAATGGTTTGTTCTTTTTCAGTTCAGGTCAAACATAACTTAAATGGCATGTTTATGTTCTTTTAGTTGACCAAGCATAACAAACCTGACATAACAAACCTGACATAACAAACCTGACATAACAAACCAAACATAACAAACCTGACATTTGTTTTATGTTCTCTTCCCTTCAGTTCAGGACAAACATATCTAATTTGTTTTGGTTTTTTGTATATTTTCCGCCTTTTAATTCAGAATTAAGAATGTAGTCATTTCAGGTTTCAGAATTTTTGTTAGATATTTGGACTCCTTGAGTTTTTTCCTACGATACAGAGTAAAATATTCCTTACAATTTGAGACCCAAATTATGCCTGAGCTAAATATAAGGTAAAAGCCCGAGTCAGCCTTTTCCCGCCATCTTTTAAAATCAAATATCTCTAAAAGGAGTTCCATACCCTATCAAATTTTTAGCTTATTTTGTTCCTTAATTAACCAAATTGAATGCTCTTCTGATTTATAGTATCAATTTTAAATTCCAGACTTTTTTAATTTCACCTGACTACATCCTTAATTAACATAAACCATGCTAACCTTGCATTTTTATCTTCTTCACCCTTTAGTTCCGGGACATTTGTGGATAGAATGTATAAATAAGCAGTAAATAGTCCCAGGACAGTTGGTATCCATAAAACAGATCCCATTATGCATACTGCAATAAAAAATAATGTAATTATAATGTACATGATATATACAAAATATTTATAGTCTTTTCAAAGATGAAAGGCAGCAATAATTTAAATTTGGACAACCACTGAATAAAATGTATAAATTTGGATAGGGGCAGAAATTATTTGTTTGTAAATCTCCTTTTTTTCTATTCAACAACAATATTGTTCATGTCGTAACAATTAATCCACTGACACAGCTATCTTAGTGAAGGTTACGTTTCATTAGTACCAGAAGTAGGTAGATAAAATGCATGTTGTTAGTCATTTACACAAATATTATAACATTAATAAATAAACATGATGAATAATATCATTAAGTCATATGTAACTTCAAATTTTAAAAAAAAGTTGAAAATGTTGTATATATTTGAAAGGCTATACTACAATGTACTATAAAATAAGTATGTGTGATCTTTCTTTAAAAAAAAATCCTTTATATGATGAAAATCTTCATAAATGTATACATACTGCTATTGAATTATTGTCTTCCCATATTCTAATTTGCCAATAATTTCCCATATGCAGTGACCTTAACTACAAGACCTCTGATTAAAACTTCGACCACCTCACAGCACAAGTTCGAGGGAAAAACCATGATGAAAGAGAGTAAAGAATAAGCACTGGAAGGTAAATATTAATAACTAATTGGAGTTCTTGCTCTTCGTCTATCATGTCTATTGTTGACATGTTGCAAGTTAAAATTCTGCCTGGGTTTGTTTGGTCATGTTGGTCATAGAGTCTGTTTGCCCTACTTTTATAGAAAAATATGAATATTAATGGTATTACAGTTTTATAAACTTATATAAATGTGTCTATGGTAAATATTAAAGAAAATATATATTTCTCAAAATTCTTGAAAAAACATGAAAATATTAAAAAAATTAATGACTATAGCTAGTTTTTTTGAGTAATTGGCGTCATGGTTACATTTGTTTTTATTTTGAATTACTTTAAATGACTATCATGATGGTTGATTGTAACTTAGAAAGCTGATTTAATAGGTACGAGTGCGAATGGACCAAGATTCGGTTATTATGAGCCATTTGGGTGATTGCCTCAAGCGGAAGCAAGTCAACTTGTACCATTGAAAACTTGTACCAAGTCAACTCGTACCAATTTTAACTCATACCACTGCGAAGTCGTACCATTGCAAACTCGTACCATTAAAAATATATGCAATGTTTTTGAAAATCTTTATAAAATATTAATTGATTTTCCTGAATTTTATACAATATATGTATATACAGATGTTTTATGAATTGTTTTTGCAAATCTTTATAAAACAAAATTTAATTTCTTATTTACCATTCTATCACAGGCACTTGTCTCTGAAAAAAAATTCCTATATACCTTGGTGAGAGTAAATCCAGAAAGCATTTATAAAGGGTTGTTTTCAATTTTTATAAATGTTGCTTGATAGACAGAGAAGCAGCAAATACCAATTTTAAAGCATTTTGTTGCTTTCTTTCATCTTTTTCTCGTGCGGTAACTATATCTTTGCGGCAGAATTTTGAATTTTGTTATATTTTTACGAAGATTTAATATTTGGCACGTGGATGTATGGCCCAATAGGGTCAGAAGTGGTCTATTGCATAGCAACATAAGGATTTCATAAAAAACTCAATAACCATCTCAGATCTCCCCGTTTGTTAGATGTCTAGAAAATGATGAAATTATTAATTTGATTACCCAGTTTAATTGTTGTTTTCATTATTACTATTTACCAGCTCGTATATTGTTGTTGTGAACTCGTATAGTTAAAGCAGATTCCTTACGGCACATTGACAAAATATTTACTGCAGTTAAGAGTTTGATAGTACTCGTTTTTTATTCACGTAGGACATGTAGGACAACGAGGTCCGCATCTCAATCATTCTATATGCTGTATTGGTGAATATATCCCAATATTTTAACAAGTACATGTCTACCAACCTATACCTCGATAACTTGGATCAGTCGATGGACAAGGCGTTCGTATCTAAACACAGTTGTAAAATCAAATAAACATGTCATTAGTCTTTCTAAAATAAAAATATATCAACTATTGTTCAATTATTCGGTGTCAGACTATTGGGGTGTCTGACCAATGGGGTGTCGGACCAATGGGGTGTCGGACCATGGGGTGTCGGACTAATGGGGTGTCGGACATAGGGGGTGTCAGACTAATGGGGGTGTAGGCATATCGGGGCTTCCCCCTTGGGGGAAAAGACAAACCGAAGAGATATTAGAAGGTTGATCTCTATGTCAAAGTAGGCGGCAACTTTCATCTACAGAGACCCCCAAAATACCCATTCGTTGGAAACTCCAGTCTGTGTACCAGAGATGTGTGTGGGCGGGTGAAAATCACCCTTCTGATGTACTGAAATTTCCTGTGCCCCTGATCAGAATCGACCTCAGCACTGTAGCCATTGGTCTTATTAACCACTAGACCATCAGCCCAAATTGTTATACCCTGAGACTACTATAACACATAGTAGTCTCAGTTATACCTTCATTTATTAATTGAGATAGAATACACTATTTGATGGACATTCGCGACAGGTTCTGCCTCAGTACCAACTTCAAGTGTGTATGTCAAAGTGGGCAGTAAGAAACTAAAGAATAAAGTATAAAGATTAATGAGATGAAAACGCAGAATTAGGATACAAGTGGGGGAAAAGCTTACGGGTCCTGTCAGGTTTTTGGGGGGTTTCTTGACAAAATGCGGCATTGATTAAACATCACTAAGTGGTCATCAAAGCTTGGTATGGTATATGTTAAAAGATGGGATAGCTGATTTGGACTAAATGCAAAATACCTATTATTTCGTAAAACAAAATGCAGATGACAAAGTTCTAAATTTGTTATTGTCTGATAAGTACACGTCAAGTTGTTTACATTTCACCGGGTACTTCAAACGCACCAGAGAGTCTGTCGAGGAAGAAAATATCTTATTATCGGCCCATAAAACCTATCGGCCTTCTTTTTTTTTAAATGAACAGAATGAACAGAGAAGCAAAAGTTACAAAAATTCACCTTATTGCAAAAAAAGATTTTTTTTTTATGTTTGCGACAATTTTTATTTTTCTAAATATTTGAATTTCAGGGAAAGGTGAAAATATTGAAATATAAAAAAGAATAATCTAAATAATACCAAAAACTATAAAATTGACAAGCGTCGGCGGTTAATGTACCCGATTCAACTGAGTCTAGTAGATATTTATATTTTTTTGCCATCAAAATTTCAAATAAAATTTGCTAAATAACTTGTTGGTGTAAATAAAGCTGCAGTTAACACAGCAGTTTTAGCAGAAATAGGTCTGTCCCTTTTGCTATTGATGCTTTACATATAGACTTCTGTAGACATTTTGGTGCCATTTGATAAATGCAAAATGAGTAGAAAGTTGTGCTTCAAATGCCTATAAATGTAGTTTATTTGCATAATAGTTTTGTAGCCAAATTGAAAAATGCTCTAGAGTCTTTCAAAAATAGGGTTCTTCTCAGTTCTTCTTCCACATTTGTTCCAAATACTGCCCACATTCAACATGATGAATATTCTGGCAAGTATTGGAAATCGAAATACATTCAGCTAAACAAGATATGCCTGGTTAATGCTATAGGAAAAAAATATTTTAAAGATATATATAGATTTCTGAAAAAAAAACCCAGTCTTTTTAATGACCAAGATAAGTCTAAACAAACTAAGAAAATTACACAGAAAATTAAAAAGTGATAACAAATAAGAATTTTTTTATCAACAGATTTAGACAGTTACATGATATCTAATTTTATTAAGATAAGATTAAGTAATAGTAATCTAGTTATTGAACAGAGAAGACACCGTAAATTACCCCTTGAAAAAAGATCATGTCCCCTCTGTAAAAAAAAGGTTGAAAATGAATATCATGTTGCTTTAAAATGTCAAATTTTCAAGAAAAACGTACGTAGGAAAATATTTTTTCAGGAAGTAGAGATTATAGTCCCATCTTTCGACAAAATGTCTGATGAGGAAAAATTTACATTTATGTTTACATTTAATGAGTACGACAGAACTAGAATTATTATTAAGGGTGTTAATGCATGCATGATTTATATGAGGGTCTGGATGGGGTCCTTCATTTCTGTATTCTGTATTTTTTTTGCCCATTATTCTCTTTATATTTAAGCACCTAATTATTCTCTATCTTGTAAACCCCCATCCACACCCTCTTATATCGGTACTAAGAAATAGCCTAGCTGACCAGAAAAACTAGAGTTATCAAGGTAATACAAATTTGTGAATATTTTCTATTTTCTTTTTCATTACATATATATTTGTTTTGTTATCCTGTCGATATTATGTACTTATATTTTGGTTGTAGAAGATCATGCTTCTCTTAGGTTGTCTATGCCGTCTCTGAATAAATTAGTTGGATTCGTATCTGATTGATACTTTAGTCTGGGAGAACATAGTTTATGCAGAACATGTAAATAAGTGTTTATTTTCTCTATATAAGTATTTCTCATTACGACATACTAGTAGCATAAATACAGACTAAGAAGAAATAGTATTTCTGTGTAGATCACAAGGTTTTTTTGCTAATTGTCTTTTATATAACACTCGGATAAACTCACTATGGACCAATTTTTCATTCAGAAAGACCTAGATGGAGTACCCCATAAGTTTTGAAATTTAAAAGTAATTTTCAACAACCTCAAAATGTTTTACAGGTGTTACAAAAGCAGTGCCTTGCTTTTGGTACATTTTTAAGTCTTGCATAAGAAAGATGCTGCCAATGCATAGATGAACCTTCGGCTGTTCTGTTATTTGGTCGGGTTGTTGTCTCTTTGACACATTCCCCATTTTCTCAATTTTATGAACTACACATAGCACTTGTTTATTATTCGTATGCATCACTTTTGCAAAAAATGTAGATATATACATTACATTCAACTTTGAAAGAATAAATACTGTCAATCGATAGCCATACATGCATCGTCTGTGCAATTTTTTGTTCCCCCGGGGTGGTACCAAGTTTTTCAGGTCTTATCTCTCTCTCGAAACTGTGCAGCACATGAAACAACCATAATCGGAGATTAGCATCAAACATCCATGGCCTTTCCCAATATACATTCCGTTCGGACATTTTCCCCAAGAAGAATTATGTTTTTGAATAGTTCTATATAAAACGTACGACAGCAAATCTTCACCCTCTTCAGTTAACAGAAACAACTTATTAAAGTTTTTGTTTGGTGCTCTAGCTTTCATAAATTTTATAGTCCTTGAATCACGTTTCCACAGTTGAATATAGATGTCCTTCTCAAAGTGCGCCAAATCCTGCTTAAGTTCTTCAAATCAGTCGAACTTAGCGTTTAGTTCACTGAAGTTTTTTTTGACAACGAAGTAATTGTTGTTTCTATTTTCGAATGTCAACGTTCAACAGAAATTTACGTATTCTAATAATGCTGTATGTACATGTAATTTCAAGAATTATGTCCACCAAAAATGAATTAAAACAATCTGAAATAAGACCGACAAAATAGCAAAACTCTATATACCTGATCGGAGTCGACAAAATTGCCACTGCAAAAAAAAAAAAAAAAAAAAAAATTAAAAATACGACTAACGGTTCGTATGAAATGGCTATAGGCCACAGGCACGTGAAAACACATTTACATAGAATAGAATAAAATAGAATAGAAAATTTTGTTTTAAGTCGGGGTTACATGCATGAACATTACAAACATAAGCTCTGTAGAGCTTTTTGTCGACATTAATAACAATAACAACACATACAATATTAAGACATATAGGCCATATAAAACATATATATTAGACATACAAAGTAAGACAGTTGTATTGCATAAGCCAATAATGTTCATCATATAAAAGCAAGCACAAACAAGTAATTAAAGCACTAAACTAGATTATAAGCACATACAAAGCAGACGAAATAAATAAAGCAAAACTAGTTCCAAAAGTTGCATGGAAAACATAAAATCAAAAGCTTGAGTTGTCATTCCAGTTGTTGATCATACTTTTAAACTGGTTCAGATTCGCGTCAGGCAGCTCATTCCAGAGTGTAGTTCCAGCATACCTTAATGAATGAAGTCCAAATTGTGTTGTTCTCATCTGTGGTACTTCAACAATCTGTTGCTTTCTAAAGATAAGGTACCTTTTTAAAAATTAATAATATCAATTCATAGAGATAAACCGGTGACTCTTTGCCCAGTGTAATATTTTAAAAACTTCTATTGCCATCATTCGTAGAAGTCTTATTTTTAAAGAAGAAAACCAGATTTTAACAAAAGAGTTTCATAGTCACTACTAACATGCATCTTCATAGATGAACCTCAAGGCACGTTCTTGTATTTTTTTCCATTTTTTCTAGTGTTAACCTCCCGGCACAAATATGCCAAACTATATATATATAGGACAAATGTTGAAATTAGACAGTAATATATGAGTGATGAATAGTTAACCTTCCCAATTCAGATAGATGTTTCCCAGTTCTTTTTAGTACATTTAACTGCCTTGATGCTTTTTTACAAATTTCAGAAATATGTGTCACGTTTAAACTTAAGTTGACAATCTATTGTCACTCCCAGGAGCTTTACCTCAGTGTCACATAAAATTTCATTCCCATCCAAATTGAATTTAATATCCCCACTTTTAGATTTATTGCATGCCAATGGCAATAGCCTGAAATTTATCCGGATTAGCTTTCATTTTGTTATTAGCGAACCAATCTATTAAAACTGCACTTTCCTTTTCCAAAGATTTAACTAATCCGTTAAGATCTGGTCCTGAGTGTGACAATTTATCTATATGATATGCCTTAACATAACATAAAGCTAGGACTAATATATAACATAGTCCAGCCCTAGCCTCAGTGACTTATTTTCAATTTTTATTTTTTTGTTGTTGTCACCAGAGACATATAATATTATATGTCTCTGTTGTCACTGTGACAAAAAAAAAAAAAATGAAAATAAGTCATGCACTGAGGCCAGGGCTGGACTAATATATAACCGTAATAGTCCCAGCATTAAGACAGGGCTGCCAAGTCTCACGTAGCATGAGACTCGCGCATTTTCATGCTTATTTGGCGGCATTTTCCCTTTGATCTATTGTTTTTTTCTCTTTGATCTTTACGATTTTGGCCGGCAAATCTCACGCATTTGCATCATTAAAAGTTGGCAGAACTGTTAAGATAGAAAGGTTAGTTTTGTCAGAGACAATTAAGTGCTTGTTACTTTCAGGATCAGTTACTATAAGGACACTTATCCTGGAAATTTTTTCAATATCAAGAGTCTTAGATCATTACCAGATACAGAAAGGCGTTATTTTCTTATTTCCGATATTTAGCGCGGGATTGTTATAGGGCGAGTACACCAGTATTATATTTGAACATATTTACCTGGATACGCTCCCCTAGACAATAGCGTCTCTATGTAAAATTGAAAAAAAGAAGGTTCTTCACGAGTTTTTAATTTCAAGACTTCTGGATTTCAAGTATGTCTTCTTTAAATTTTATAACTGCAAAGATCCATCTTCATATATAGATGTTCAGTTTTTAGCTTAATATTCATGATATTTGTGTACTCTCATGTTCCTAGAAAATCTTTTGGCCTTCATAAATTTGTATTTTTTCCTAGCTAGGGGAAAGTTAGTCCAAATAATTATGACGTCTTGCAAGGCTATTTAAATTTTTTTCTGTGACGCCTTCGTACGACAGCGTCACAGAAAAAAATTGAAATAGCCTTGCATGACGTAATATTAATAATTATTTGGACTAGGGGAAGGTCTATTAACCAGTTAGGGGACTTACTTAAATGAGTGATTTTCTAAATCACTGATTCAAGTAACATTTAATAATAATAATGTCCATAAAGGTTGGAAGTAAGAGTTGTCTTTCTTTAATAATCACCTACATGTATTTAAGTAGTACAAATTAATCACTAGACTAAGTGATCTGATTTTATTTTAGCTTTAAATATAGAATACTAATGATCCAGGGACTAATTATGTTGCTCAAATTATCAGAACCAACATCTGTGTTGATAGAATGATCGAGTCATGTCAGGTGATGACCTTGTACTTAATCTAGGATAATGACATAAAATTTTTCAAATTCAAAAATATTATCTGGCACAGAATGAACAAGAATATTTTTTTTATTTAAAGTTTGCAATTTAAGCTTTATCAGTGTTAGAATCATCAAAGTGAATATATTTTAGAAAACATATTTATTTGTGAGTTCATTCAAAATTTTATTTACTTATTTTGTTATGTTGATTAATTTTATCTGTTTTCAGTTCATCAAAATTAGCAGACGGTCATGGAAAGGGCACAGGCTTCTATTTTATTAATCAAAAACATTTCATACACATACATATATTTAAATAATATACAATACAATCATGACAATAAAATAACAAAATGTTAAAAACAACAAAACTAATCTTATTATTATATATAAGAAGCAAAATTTTAACAAATTAAGCCAGGTAAATTATGTTTTGACAGTAATAAAAGCTTCACAGTTAGGGAGCTACCATTTGATTTTTATGGGGGGGCTAGGATGAAAAATTTTGTCCTGCTTTTTTTTTTAGTTGTAATCTCTGTCCTGCCTTTTTACTTTTTACTCTATTCCGTCCTGCCTTTTTTTTTACTAGTTTATCCTGAATTTTTTTACACAAATTGTCATCCTGCCTTTTTTTTTTACCAAGTTGCTCATCCTGCCTTTTTTTTTTCTCAAAACTCCTGTCCTGCCTATTTTTTTCAAATTTCATCCTAGCCCCCCATAAAAATCAAATGGTAGCTCCCTTACTAATTTCCAAATGTTGCATTTCTTACTCCTTTCTGACATTCACACCCTACCATGTCTTCTACTGAATCACATTTGCCACACTCACAATTACATTCCACCACACCAGTTTTATAATATGGTTTACCTTTCATGCTTATTGTTTTCTGTGTTCCGAAAAAATCAGGAGATGTTCTCTCTCAAAAAGTTCAGTGTCAAATTCTATATATATACCCCACCTAAAAAACTTGTAAAACAAAATTCTAAAGCATTAGCATTTGCAAACAACCCACAGTCTATTATGCTGTTTTTTTCAATTTTATTCTGAATAAATAATGAGGAGTTAAAACAATAAATATCTTCTCATTATAAGTATTCATTACCACACACTCCGTTTACGGATGACATAACAGAATACACAAATGCACAGATAAAAAGACTTGCCGTAAAGTTTCGCACGTGCCAACCAAATATTTAGCAATAGGATGACTATTCTGGCAGATTTCTGAGGAATTAATTTATTATCAAATGAAAATTTAAAAATTTTCTTATAATTTATTGTTCAAACTTTACTATTAATACCAATAAACATGATAAAAAATAAAGATAACTTTAAAATCTAAACGTAAATCTACTGTACTGACAGATTTATATAGAAATACATAGACTGATTTTCATATTTCCGAATATACATTTGTAGAACTGAAAACTTTAAAAAGAAATAACAATTTCATTCCAGACAATCATGACAATAATTTTAAATAAGAAACTCAACTTTGTTTTTTGATTCGAAACAAATTTCTTCACGTCAAGACATAATAAGCTACTGCCCTGGCAGATTTGTTCAAGTTTTACTTTAAAAGAGAAAATTATTCAAATTCTTGATTTTTTGTCGAACCTGCGACTTTTGTCGCAGAAAGCTCAACATAGGGATAGTGATCCGGTGGCGGTGTTAGCTAACTTCTTAAAAGCCTAATATTTCAGAAGGTAGAATACCTGGATCCTTCATACTTTGTATACATAGATGCATTATAAGATGAAGTTTCCGTCTGTCATATGTCCATCGACCTTGACCTCATTTTCATGGTTCAGTGACTACTTGAAAAAAAGTTAAGATTTTTAGTATTCTTAATTTCTCTGTTAATAATAGCACAAACATTTTATGCCAGACAGTTGTTTTGGAGAAATTATTTCAAGGGTCCGTTCGCCTTTATACTTGTTTGTACAGGGTCCCTTCCTCCTAATTGTTATTTTGCTTTGTTGTCTACAGTCTTTAATATTGTATAATGGTATAATTAAGAAATAATTCATGGCAGCTGCAAAGACTTCTTTTCATTTAGACATGTTAGACGAAAAATGAAAACAAATCCACCATGTCTACAGCTGCCATGAATTATTTTGATTCTTACATAGGACAAATACGGTAATTTTGTCAACCATGAAAGTATACACATGATCATGATGATACTGTTTGGCTTTTCTGTTTTACCCCATTATACACGATATAAGAATATTAATTTTATTATATATATTATCCAATGTCAAATGATGAATAAAAAACTCTTATTTTTCATTCTTTTTTCTTATCTAATTTTATTACATTATGAGGCGTACAAGAAGCCTGAAAATGACCAGTGTTCACATTTGACGCTGGAAGCAAACATATGATGTCACATTGTTCAGTTACCATTTAGACTATCACATCATTTTGCGGAATTTTCGTTTTATGAATTTTTAGGCCAAAATAATAACTGAAATGGACTGATTTGTTTATTTTGCATTAAAATAGAGATGATTGTATTTTATTTGAAGCTTGGCCTACATAAAATGTGGGTTTTACTGTTGCAGACTCAGTTTACCTGGTCGTTTAAATAAGATGGGCGTAATGCAGAACAGCCAATTTTGTGTATTAAGGCGTTTGCACTAAAAAGTAGAAATACTGTGATTATACTGGTTGACGATGTATAGGTCATCATATTAAAATATATATTATATGAATATGTTCATAAGTGTTTCTCATTTCTCGTTTTTTATATAGATTAGACTGTTGGTTTTCCCGTTTGAATGGTCATGATGGTTTTACACTAGTAATTTTTGGGGCCCTTAATAGCTGGCTGTTCGGTGTGAGCCAAGGCTCTGTGTTGAAGGCTGTACTTTGACCTATAATGGTTTACTTTTATAAATTGTGACTTGGATGGAGAGTTGTCTAATTGGCACTCATACCACATCTTCTTATATCTATACATGCTATATATGATAGAGTATGTTAAAGTGTGATGAAAATTTTGAATATTTATGTTGTATTGCCATCATTGCTGCTACATAAAACAGCTGAAAACCATTTAGTTATATGTACAAAAATGTATGTACATGTATTTATCTTTGAAGAGATTTATTATAAGTCCTTGACCGGTATCACGGGTAATTGTGCCAATTTGTGGACAGGATACACTTTGGGTGCCCTTCAGCATGTTCAGTGAGAGTACCCCACATGACTCCCCATGTTTAATTCTGATTTAATTTTTATTTGATATTTAACATGTTTACTTAAATTGTTTTTATTTGGAATACTGTAAATTCAGAAATTATTGCGTGCATTTATTATCGCGATTTTGTCATTTTAGACTAAAATGAGATTTTAATTTTTGCGATATTCAGAAAAATCCTATTTGGATACATATAACAAATTTCAAAATGCGAGTTTTAATTATTGCGATTATAACCCTGTCGCATTTTTCGCAATAATAAAAACATCGCAATAATTTGTGAATTTATAGTATAATACATTGTAAAAGTCATTCAAAACAATCATAAACAACTATAACAAGACATTACTCTTAACAAAGCCATTTAAGACACATCATGCATAATTTATTTTCCTAACTGTGAACACCATTGAACACTGTTATTTTAAACAGTAATGAAATATTTTTAAAAAAATACTGAAATAAAAAACACAATTATTCAACTTCCACATATATATATATATATATATATATATATATATATATATATATATATATATACAATAAATAACAAATTTGTAAAAACATCAACACAGTTGAGATCAAAGGAGCCAAGCTGTGAAATAAATTCCCTTTCATGTCTTACAATTCATACATGCAATGATTTTATTCATTCCAAGCTGACTAGTTTACTTAAAAAAATAATTTTGAAAGGATCATGTTCACTGATTTGATTCAAATATTTATATTTGACTTATAACAATCTTAAACACATATTCAAATTATAAAAAGTCTAAAAAAAACAATTCACGATGCATAGACTCGATAGTATGTATCAGCATTTCGTGTGTATTTTAGTCTAATTAGATGCCATCTAATTAACCATCCAGGTGACCTCCGAAGACTGCTGACGGTCATATAACCTGATATAAACATAAAAATAGATATAAATAGATTGTGAACTCGTGCAACTGGATTTTTCTAGGTCTGTTTGATTTCATATATAGGTTAAGAAAATATGTTAATAATCGTTTTTACCTGTATACATGTATAAGAATGAGTTTTTCTAGATCGAATCAGTCAACCAAATGGTTTACCCTTGTTTTAACTTCCAATGTTTACATTTTTTTCCATTTGGTAACTGAACACGCCTAGTTCATGAGTAACCCATCTCTAGCTATAGGAACCAATTAAAGTTCACATGAATACGGATTCAATAAGGTCAAATTATTCACTTGCAAATTAAAAGTGAATTATTATTTCACTATTTCACTTAGCTTTCATTAATGATTTAACAAAAAAAATAATCATATTATATTTTTTTTATATCTATAGTAGCTAACAAACTGGCTAATGCCCCTTTAATAATAACAAATGTAACATTGAAGCCAATCATTGTTCAAAAACAAGCAACTTATTATCTTGTTATACAGTACATGCAGTACCAATTACACAGTGTTAAAATAGTTTCAAATTTAAAGGAGACAATCTTAGTTTATAGTTTGATGCCTATGAGACTAAGACCAACATACATGACATAGAAAAAAAGTATCAAGGATTTAATCACTGCCAGAGGTTTTCAAGTTGCATGCGTTTGTGATCATTTCTTAGATACTTCCTCAACAATTATCAATTAATTGACTTTTATTTAACTTTGCAAAGACAGAAATTACAAGATATGTGAAAAAGAAATAAGGAGCCTCCCATTTTGGTAATTGAATACAAGTAATATTATTCATCAGTTAGGTTTTTGTGACATTTAGTTACAGTCTCGTGAAAGTACAATATACATGTATGTCTGAAAGCTTTGTTTATTTGTCCATGATATTAGTGGCTATGGTTCCAATATATGATTATATCAAACACACTTTTCTTAGGACAAAACAAATATTCCTCAATTTGAGCTTATAGATCTAATACCTGTTTATTACCAGCATGACTAGGGGCGGATCCCTGATTTGTGAAAGGGGGGCCTAATTCCTGATAATTAAATAATTTACAATGTATACTGCCAGGCAGAGCTGAGTGAAGTAGAAAATAAATTGATGATTTTAACTAGAAATTTATATATATCGTAAAAAAAATAATTTTGAGATCTACTCCCCCCATCTAGCATGTCTAGATCTTCCACCTTTATATCATGGTCTCATAATCATATAGAAAGAAATAATAAAATGAAATCTTTTTTTCCGCAATCTGTGAAAATGTGTATTGTATGTCAGTAAAAATCATGTTTTCTTTGTAAACTGTATAAACACCTAGTAGTCCATTATGCATTCAACTCATTCACTGAATTGGTTAATGACCCAGGGAAAGATAATGTACCCTACCTATATTGGTTGGGTTCCCTTAAGTAAATGAAGGCCATCTTTTACATAATTTTTGTGAATTAACAATATTATGAATATATCCCTGTTTTATGACATGTATGAGCCACCCTCCACTGATGGGCACATGTTTTTTCTTAAAGTATTACCAGAACGACAAATACCCTTGTGACAACCATGCGTCTTCTTTGTACCAATTTCTTTAAAATCCTACCAAAAATCACATCACAATAATTTTTGAAAAAATCCTGATTTATATGAAATATAGAGCGGAAGACGCAGGTGGTGAACATGGTGAACACTTATTGTATTATTCTGTAGCTGTTTTTTTTGTTATCTAATTGAGTTTTATTATCTTTGTAGGAAACTCTTCATGTAAAGAAGTTAAAGAACAATGGATAAAGTGCTGATTTCATCTTGTAACAGCTATTGTAGATACATGGTTTTTAAGAAACTGTTAAAGCCTTTGAGACAAAGTCAGTACTTTCTGTCTACCTTGACTTGTCAGAAAAATATTTGTTTGTCTTCCCAGCCAAGCAAAATTAGTTCACAAACTGGAGAACAAACTTCAAAACTGTTTCATTGTGGTGGAAGAAACAATTCATTTTGTGTTCAAGTGTGCCATTTTCATGGAAGCAATTATTACAGTTCAAGAAGGAAAATGAATAAAAGGTCTTCAAATGAAGAAGAAAGAATTCTTGAAAATTGGAATTGGAACATTAACTCTGATCCAGGTCTTGGTTCATTGTATGATGAAATGAACAAAGAATTGTCAACCATTGAATGTAAAACTGAGAAGAAGGAGTCACAAGAAAATGATTATGGTATTTCAGGTAAACAACAAATCATATAATGTATACATGTATATAGCACTTTTATTGCTGTTCTTCATCTCAAAGTCACAGTGAGGCCTTCAACACAGAGAATAAAACTCTCACCTCACTGCAAGTTTAAGATTGCCCCTAGCACCAGTTTGTTTTTGTTTTTTTTCCTTGAGCAGCAGAATATATACTTGATATATTCAGTGATTTTTTTCTTATTTCATTCTTGTCCTTTAATGCATGAAATATTTGCCACTGTATGGAAAGAACACAATAATCAAACAATTCAAAAGCTTTATGAAACCCTAATCCGTATACAGTCATGTCACTTAAAAAACATCTTCTTGAGGTATTATTATATATTGTGTATACATGCATGTAGTATGACTTTTTCAATATCACACACCGTACCTTGCCGTATGATAGTTAACCAATAAAGTCCAGGGCTCGACAATAACGCTTGTCCGATTGTCCGGTACCAGAGGAAAAAAACGTCGGACAAGTAAAAGCCATATCAAGCTTGTCCGACGGGACAAGTAAAATCATTCTGTAGAAAATAAATAAAATCCAACTTTGATGATCAAAGTAATAAACAAAAAAAACAAGAAAAGAAGATAAAAACAAATTTTAATTTGACGTGTTTACTTGCGATCGATAATTTAAAACTGGTTCTTTGTCAGATACTTTATAATAGATAAAAGGCATACTATTCTCAGAAACCAGTCTTACCAATCGGAATCAACGGTGCGCTTTGTATATAAGGTAACAAGACAGTTCGGCACCGGCACGGAAACGAATCGGCTCCATGTTTAATAAACAGTTCGGCACTGTTGGAGACATTTCGGGACCAAGACAAACCAGTACATCGTTTCCCTACGTTTTGCTGTTGCTTTATAATAAATATATGAAAATATTTTAAAAATAAAAATGAAGAAATAATTGACCATAAAATTCAGAAAATCATATTTGATCATATTTAAACAAACAATATTTTATTGTGTTTGAATAAACATTTTAATATATTAAGGTTCATGTGGACCCTTTGGCTAAAATGGCTGCGTTTTCACCTCAAAATTTACTCTGAGTACAGACAAACCTGTGCATCTGGAAAAGTTTTAAGGCATAGCATGCCCTAGATAAATAAATTTCAAATGCATTGTATGTTTTAGAAAATTTTATACTTAACTGGATTTTGCAGTGCACTTTTTTTCGTCCCTGCAGAAGATGATAAAATTAACAAACAGATGAGTTTTACTTGATATGGTCCACTCAGGTACACAGTTTAAATCACCAATTATTGTCAGGTATCTATTGTCCATCTATTGTCCATGTCAATCAATACAGTTCACTTCAATTATTACCTGTGGGGAAGTTCTCAAACCTCTTTCACAACTTTGTTTATTTTGGCACCTTCTAGAGAAATGAAAAAAAGTGCACTGCAAAATCCTGTTAAGTTTTTAATTTTCTAAAACATAAAATATATGTGAATTTTATTTATCTAGGGCATGCTATGCCTTAAAACTTTTCCAGATACACAGGTTTGTCTGTACTCAGAGTAAATTTTGAGGTGAAAATGTAGCCATTTTAGCCAAAGGGTCCACATGAACCTTAAAAACAAAGCTGATTGTAGTAAGGCATTAATCATAATAATCAATATTTTATCAACATAAAGGACCAGGATACAAACCAAATGAGTGTAGACTGACAGGCCTACAAGACTGTACCTGATGTGTAGAGTCTGATGAGACTTTGGCATTGATGAAAACTAAAACCTAAGTCCTGTGACAAGACATGACTAGATTCAGTTGTTCTCGGCTCATATTTTTGAAAAGGATATCAAGAGATATAAATCAAATTCTGTTCTATTGTTTTTATTCATGTTGTTCATTGAATCAACCTAAAATGCAAAAAAGGTTAATACAAAGGTTTTTTCTTGGATAAGTTACAATTCCATTCGGACAAGTAAGTTTTGGTATGTACTTGTCCTATTGGGCAAGTTGAAAAAAAAGTTATTGTAGAGGCCTGAAGTCACTCGAGCAGAGTTCTTAATTTGGGATTATATTTAATGTCTCAAGTTGATCATGTTGATATGGTTGTGATATTGAAAGAAACCAATAGCTGCCATACGACATGTATAAATAAATCTTTTTTTTATTTATTTTCTAGGAAATCTGACAGATGAGAGAATAGAAGAATTAACCAAGTCCTTTAATCAGACCAGTACAACTATAGAAGTGGAAGATTTATCTTTGGAAGAAGTCGACGATGTCCAGCCGAAGTGGGTCCCTCCTGTTGAATTGAAAAGTAAGTACATTTTGTACTGTAAAAAGGAATATATTTGGGCTGTTGTAAAATTTTAATTATTTGGCACCTAAGTTGAAGGTGCTAAATCAGTCCATTCTTTTATTTGAAATTAAAAGTTTTTTGGTACAGGGATCAATCCTTTCCAAAAATGTTTGAGCCACAAACTTTCCTTTGCTTTTTATACGACCGCAAAAAAATTTTGTGGTCGTATATTGGTATGACGTTGGCGTCGTCGTCGTCGTCGTCCGGCGTCGTCGTCCGAAGACACATTGGTTTTCGCACTCTAACTTTAGTTTAAGTGAATGGATCTTTTTGAAATTTGACCATAAGGTTAAATACCACAAAAGGAAGGTTGGGATTGATTTTGGGGGTTATGGTACCAACAGTTAAGGAATTAGGGGCCAAAAAGGGGCCAAAAATAAGCATTTTCTAGTTTCCAGACAATAAATGTGGAACGGTGTATGGATCTCTCTGAAATTATACTACAAGTTTCCATACCACAAAGGGATGGTTAGGATTTGCTTTGGGGGGTTATGGCTCAAACCGTTTAGGAATTAGGGGCAAAAAAGGGGGAAAAACAAGGTTGTCCTGGTTAATGGACAAATACTTTAGTACAAAACATAATTTAAAGCAGTGTAAGGGAGATAAATCAAATACATCATTGAAATTATCTCCCTTACACTGCTTTTAAATTATGTATAAAGTAATGGTTAATGAACAATAAAGATAATTTAAAACAGTGTAAGGGAGGTAATCCAAATACAACGTTTTGGTTACTTCCCTTACACTGCTTTTAAATTATGTTTAAAGAAATACATATTTATAAAGGAAGACCAGTAAAAATATCTGCAAATGTTGCATCTTTTTTTTTTACAAAAAAATCCATATGAAAGATTTGACACTATATTTTTAATTCTATTATAAAATAGATTAAGTTAGCACTATGGTAAATTTAAATGGGTAATTATGGTTGCCAACTCCAAGTTAAAAAAACATGGTTCTGATGATTTTTTCACTTCAAACCTCTACCACTACCTTTTTATACGACCACAAAAAATTTTTCCAGTCGTATATTGGTATGATGGTGGCGTCGTCATCGTTATCGTCTTAGTCCGAAGACACATTGGTTTTCGCACAATAACTTTAGTTTAAGTGAATGGATCTCTATGAAATTTTACCATAAGGTTCAATACCATAAAAGAAAGGTTTGGATTGATTTTGGGGGTTATGGTACCAGCAGTTAAGGAATTAGGGGCCAAAAAGGGGCAAACAATAAGCATTTTTCTAGTTTCCAGACAATAACTTGTGGAACGGTGTATGGATCTCTCTGAAATTATACCACAAGTTTCTATACCACAAAGGGATGGTAAGGATTTGATTTTGGGGGTTATGGCTCAAACCGTTTAGGAATTAGGGACAAAAAAGGGGAAAAACAAGGGTGTCCTGGTTAATGGACAAATACTTTAGTACAAAACATCATTTAAAGCAGTGTAAGGGAGGTAACTCAAATACATCATTTGAATTACCTCCCTTGCACTGCTTTTAAATTATGTATAAAGTAATAGGTTAATGAACAATTAAGACAATTTAAAAGCAGTGTAAGGGAGGTAATCCAAATACAACGTTTTGATTACCTCCCTTACACTGCTTTTAAATTATGTTTAAAGAAATGCATATTTATAAAGGAAGACCAGTAAAAATATCTGCAAATGTTGCATCTTTTTTTTTTTACAAAGCAATCCATATGAAAGATTTGACACCATATTTTAAATTCTATTATAAAATAGATTAAGTTAGCACTAAGGTAAATTTAAATGGGTAATTATGGTAGCAAAAACCATTGGAAATTTGAATTGCGATTATGACCATATCTTAAGCATGTTAAGGGAAAGAATTTTTTGGGGAAAAATGGGGGGGGGGGGGGTGAATATAAATTGTGGTGTGACAATATTTTCTCATTTCATTGGGTGGGGGGTTAATACGCTACAGCATAGTGCATTACACAAAAGCAAAAAAAAAAGGGGGGGGGGGGGGGGGGGGGGTAATTTTTTAATTTTTTTTGTGGGTGGAGGAGGGGGGGGATTAGGTTAATTCGCAACAGAAAAGTGTATTGCACAAAAGCAAAAAATTGAATATAAATTCAAATCATATAACCAATTCTAAGTTCTTTGACTACAGTTATTCTGTGTCAGAAACCTTTTATGTGTCAAATTTTTAATTACAATCCAAATTCAGACCTAGCCTGTATCAAGTGTGAATATTGCATCCATTTTTGCCCCAACTGTTCAGGGTTGGACCTCTGTGGTCATATCCAGCTGCGCTAGGCGAAGCAATTTATTGAATTTATCATCAAATCTTCTTCGACTTCGACTTCTACTTTGAATATATTAAACTTACATGTGCAGTGGTACAATCATGGTTTTTCAAATGATTATAACTTGAGAACAGTTAGTGATAGACACATGGGTTCTTCAGTAATGATCATGGGAACATACTGAAAGGTCAATGGTCAATTATGACCTTGACCTTTGATCTTGAACTTTTTTTTCAATTTATTCTATAGGGAGAGGAGTTTATACTTCATGTACTTATGGAGGTTTGTTTGGGAGACTTGGTAACAGCATCCTGTTACAATCATTTCTTGTTTAATAAAATTGAGAATGGAAATGGGGAATGTGTCAAAGAGACAACAACCCGACCATAGAACAGACAACAGCAGAAGGTCACCAACAGGTCTTCAATGCAGCGAGAAATTCCCGCACCCGGAGGCGTCCTTCAGCTGGCCCCTAAACAAATATATATACTAGTTCAGTGATAATGAACGCCATACTAAACTCCAAATTGTACACAAGAAACTAAAATTAAAAATAATACAAGACTAACAAAGGCTAGAGGCTCCTGACTTGGGACAGGCGCAAAAATGCGGCGGGGTTAAACATGTTTATGAGATCTCAACCCTCCCCCTATACCTCTAGCCAATGTAGAAAAGTAAACGCATAACAATACGCACATTAAAATTCAGTTCAAGAGAAGTCCGAGTCTGATGTCAGAAGATGTAACCAAAGAAAATAAACAAAATGACAATAATACATAAATAACAACAGACTACTAGCAGTTAACTGACATGCCAGCTCCAGACTTCAATTAAACTGATTGAAAGATTATGTCTTCATCATATGAATATCAGGCACAATCCTTCCCGTTAGGGGTTTAGTATCATCAGTCAGGGGACTTATTGAAATAAGTGATTTTCAAATCACTTATTTAAGTAGCAAATTCGAAGTTTTGTCACAAATTGTGATTTTGTAGTTTTACCAAAATTTTAAACACATAGCGTTTAGATAATATCTTTTCATTAGTAAAATTGAAAAAAATGAATTTTTTGCTTCTTTTAAGCCGCAAGGTTTATGCCTTTGATGCAATAATTTAGCTGCAAATTCTATTTTAGTTGAACAAATGCTATAAAAATGGCTTTACATAATGAACTGATACTTTCTTAACAGATTTTTCCCAGCAGTGGGAGTATTTTTCCTGTAAAGTTCAAGGTTTCATCTTATAGATTATGTAATAAAATTCTACTGTTCGCGATAAAAATTTCACTGTTCGGGGGGTGTTGAAATTAGTGGGGGTTATTAAAATAATGATACTTAAAGAAGTGATTTTTTGGAAGGAAATTGAGGTATGATACTTAAACAAGTGATTTTTATGTCATTATCCTAGATTTAGTACAAGGTCATCACCTGACATGACCTGGTCATCCTATCAACACAGATGTTGGTTCTGAAAATTTAAGCAACATAATTAGTCCCTGGATCATTAGTATTCTATATTTAAAGCTACAATAAAATTAAATCACTAAGTCTAGTGATTAATTTGTACTACTTAAATAGGTGATTATTAAAGAAAGACAACTCTTACTTCCAACCTTTATGGACATAATGTTACTTGAATCAGTGATTTAGAAAATCACTCATTTAAGTAAGTCCCCTGACTGATCATACCATCATAACATATATGAGAAGAACATAACCCGTGTCATGCCAACAACTGGTTTTAATGCATATTTCTGATAGACTAAATATATTTACTAAATCAATTAGATGCAAACCAGTGAGAAAATAACTTTAATTACACCGATGAATGTCTGGTACAAAATAGTTCACTGTCTGAACATGTAAATGTCATCTGTCAGACATCTAATTAGTATACTAAATAAAACCAGTAGACTTGTATACTATACTACAATTGTTTTCTAATTCATTTGATTTGTTCTAAAGACGTGGACTTTCAGAATTGTCTATTTGCTATACATGTTATAATTGTTTTCCTAAGGGCTTCAATCTGAGGGAAAAAAATTTTGAAAACTCTTGGTTTCCATTTACCTTAGATGACTGTAATTTTTGATACCCCTGCTTTAGAAAAGGTGGGGTATACTGTTTTACCTCTGTCCATCTGTCCATCCAACCGTCCATCTGTCAGTCCGTCCGTCTGTCCCATGAATATTTTTCGTCGCATCTTTCTCAGGAACTACATTACAAGGATTTCTGAAATTTGATTTCAGTGTTTATATGAGTCAGCTATACTGTGTGATGCGTTTTCAGATTCATCACTTAACAACTTCCTGTTTACTGAACACTTATATCATTTTACACATGACATCCAAGTTGAAAATTTTCGTCACATTTTTCTCAGGAACATTACATTTCAAGGATTTCTGAAATTTGGTTTCAGTGTTTATATAAGTCAGCTATACCATGTAATGAGTTTTCAGATTCATCACTCTACAACTTCCTGTTTACCACCAAGTATTTGGGCTGGGGGTATCATCAGTGAGCAGTAGCTCGCAGTTTCACTTGTTTATTCATCCATTCAAACCATGGATAGAATAATAGAAAAATCAAGGAATGTGTGCAACGATCAGAATTCTGTAATATAACAAAATTTGATAAAGGGACAAACAACCAAATGCAATTTAATGACATATATATTTAACATTTCATGCATGGGTAATGGAATTAATTTTTTCCATGATATTGATTTAACAACATCATACATGTATATTTTTGAGGGGAGGGGTAAATTCAACGACTAAACAATCTGTAACTAAGGGAGGCAGCCATTTTGAATTCTGGAATTTATTGGTATGTAGCCATGGTTTCTTCAAGAATAACAAAATAAGCAGATGTCTCACCTTAATTTAGTCTCTGCAACGACGTTTGGAGACTTCTTCTTATTCTTCCACTGCTTTTTTAAATGAACTTGTCCGCAGCAGTTCTTCAAAACTGCTTGTCAGATTTACTTAAGGTTCCATAATATATTAAACTTACATGTGCAGTGGTGCAATCATGGTTTTGTTTGTGCATTGGGGTCTAAAAAGGGGTACTTTGAGGAGCCAAAAGAAGGGAGGGGGCTACTATAGAACCCTATGGGATTTTAAGATTTTTTATTTTCAAATGATTATAACTTGAGAACAATTAGTGATAGACACATGGGGTCTTCAGTAATGACAAGGGGAAGATATGGCCTACTGAAAGGTCAAAAGGTCAATGGTCAATTATGACCTTGACTTTTGACCTTGATCTTCTTTTTTCAATTTATTCAATAGAGAGTCCTTAGGGGTTAATAATTATGGGGATTTGTTTAGAAGACTTTATAACAGCATCCTGTTACAATCATTTTTTGCTTTATCCGTTTTTTGCAAAAAATTTTTTTTGACCTGAAGCTTATACAAAAAGTCTAAAATTGTCTGATGATTACTTTTGATGCCAGAATAGTATCCATGGTGTCATACTGGTAAGGTTTTCAAGACAATAACAGTCATATGACGATGTTGTGTGAGATTTTCGATTTACAGATTTTACACTCAAATTTTTTTTCAAACTGAATACTGTAAACCAACTAATTTTAGCGACTTTCGTGAGAAGAAAAATAACGTGCATTTAAATTAACACAAATATGTAAAACGTAGATCTTTCCTTATTTAACTACATCAAGTAAATTTGAAAATCAGGAAATTAAATTGCTGCGAATTGGGCCAGAAAGGGCTAAACGCGTAATAAAGTATCAGCGAAAATAAGTTGGTTTACAGTTTCTGTTAAGTTTTCACTAGAATAGAGATTTTGAACTCTATTGTATTTTAAGCTTGGCCTAAGTAAAACTTTGTTTTGCTGTCGCACATATCAGTGTACCTAGCCCATTTTGTTTTTACACCTGATAGTTATAGTTTTTTTTTTTTAAATACTGTTCAAATGAAACATTACTGGCAACTTTGAAATTTACATCCAACATTTGCGAGATCATTTCTAATTTGTTTTTGATGTTTCAATTTCAAGCATAAAATATAAGATGTTCCATTTAATAATTTGCTTTTAAACATATTTTTATTATTGCAGGAGGGAGACAGGGAGTATTTGATGTGGAAGAAATTGTAACAGTGCTAAGATCCTCGAATGCCCGAGACATTTGTGTGATTAAGATGCCTGATACTTTACAGATATCTGATTATATGGTGATAGCCACAGGAATATCATATAGACATTGTCGGTCAATGACAAAAGATATCCAATTCATTGTAAGTTGTTGCCATAGTTACGTTTATAGATATAGGAAGATGTGGTATGAGTGCCAATGAGACAACTCTCCATCCAAGTTACAATTTATAAAAGTAAACCCTTATAGGTCAAGGTACAGCCTTCAACACGGAGCATTGGTTTACCAATTAAATTCAGTGTGACTAAGGGCAATGACCAAAGACATTCATTCATTGTAATGTGTTGCCATGGTAATGATTATGATTTAGACATTGTAATGCAATAATGATAAGTGACACACAATTCATCATAAGTTGTTGTCCTAGTTATGAATACAATTGAAACATCAAATGGCAATGACAAAAAAACTTCAAATTATCATTTAGACATTTTTATGAACATGATAAATATAGAAATGATAAATGAACTTAATTTTTGACAGTCAATATTACACTTTACACTGACAGCAGCACTTGTGTGCAAAATACAGTGTTCAGTGGAACCATTTACAATTTTTGTCCTGCTTGTGACAAAGTCACTGAAGGCAAAACAAAGGTGTTGTTTTTACAGCCTCAGGGATGGTGTTGGTGGCGGCAACAATTGACAAGATTTCTGCTTAAGTCAGTTTGATAGGAACTACTTGTCATAGATCAATGATTTTTTTCTGTAAAGTTGCATTACTATCAGTACATTTTGATGCAGTGCCCTCTATGTCATTGTCCAGTAACTTTGAATTAATTAGCAATGTTGCTGCCCATCAGATTGTCTTTTTCTGAACTTTCTGTGGACGGGCGAGACATATCACTACATGTCAATTTTTTTTATACATATATTATAAAAAGAAAGTTGATGGAACATTTAATGAATATGATAGTTATAAAACTTTGATTCAATTCTGTCCATCTATTTTGGGGTTAAAATTTGTAATCAAAGTGCCAGTGTGTCACTTGAAATGATTGGTTGTTTGAAAAGTCGTCTAAAATTATGTGACCTTATGACATCTTTTGTTCTTGCAAATACTGTACACATTATCTTTTTTCTATATAAAAATGTTCGCAGCAAGGATCCATGCTATTTATTATAGGTTAACCAGAACATGGTTTTGGTTCATCATGTTAATCATGTTAATAGTACTTAATTAGAAAAGAAATTAAAATTGACAATCAGACAGTCCAGATGACAAGGAGGTGAATGATCTCAACCATCACCATGATCTCAAGCAAGACTAATGACAGGAACTACTCCAAATTATTCTATTATTGGTAATTCTTTACATTTCTGCACTTTTTCAAATTTTGTTTTACTTTGTCAATATTTTCTATTTTGTAGCACAAGAGGAAAAGATCTAATAAAGATTCTTCTTTGAAAGTTGAAGGTCTAGATTCAGAGAATTGGCTGGCTTTTGATTTAGGTATGCATTTGACTGCTTAAGAAGATATTTCATTTTCTTATTTGTCTGCTGATGTTCTTTACATACAGTATGCAGAACATTTAACCTTTATAATTACCCCCAGTGGTCAAGTGGTCCAAGTAGTTTGTCTACAGTGATTGTTAGCCTGTCAGTGCTAAGATTGTGAGTTCAAATCCCTGCTGGTGGTGAGGTGAGTTCTTTATTACAAGGCTTCTTCGCAGATATCTGAACTGTAAGTTAACAAATTTGTCTTGGTGATGTTTGTGGACCATATTTTGATAAAATTATACAATTAACACTATTATTGGAATTGATAAAAGGAATCTCCCTTTTGATTTTGAAAATTTTCTGGTTGTGGTTCCAGATTTAAGGGACTTTAACCATGTTAACTGTCCAATTGAACTTGTACCATAAGATGAGTATGCTATGATTGATTTAACGGAAACTTTACATAATTGTTGGCATTGGTGAAAGTAAAATAAATTCTAATTTTGAAAATGTTCTGCTTGTCATTCCAGAGAAATTGTACAAATTGTACTTTGATTGTCAGATTAATAAAATACAGTTTATTACATGTCATGCATTAGTCCTAGTATGATTTGATCTATTTACCACAAACTTTACAAATTTGTTGGGATTGGTGAATTTAAACTCACTTTTTATTTAAAAATTTTCTGGTTTGTCTTTCCAGAGTTATGGAACTTTTAACATTCATATTTGACCCAATGTTTATATACCTAAAGATATCTTGGTACATGTTTTCTAGAGTATATTTGGATCAAGTTACTTAATGTTTTCCAATACTTTATACTAGAGTTGTAGGACTTAAACTTACAGATTTGAGGCTGTATTTATTAAATGTTCCTTTATACCTCTGGGATGAGTGCATAGGATTGGTAAAAGTAAGCTGCCTTTTATCCGGTAATTTTGATAATTTTTCGGATTTGTAATATTTTAGTTATCAGACTTTATAAATCATCAGATTTCAGGCATTATGTTCACATGCTGCACACTACCTCAAGTATTCTTGGAACAATTTTCTTTAAACTTTATACTGTTGATTGGGTTAGTGGAAAAAAATCATCAAATTATCTCCCTTTCAATTTTGTATTTTTTTTTTCTATTTGCCTTTCAAGAGTTATATGTGGCTGTTACTGACAAATGTAAGGCGTAAATTATCATTCAGTGGTATTAAAATAATAGATTTTCACTGTTCCCACTCAATTTGCTTTCAGAATTAGATGCATTCTGGGTAATATTTTCAGTGACATAATACAAAACGTGGAGACTGGCATACAATGTCTCAGACATTTAGAAATTCAACCAATGACTTTGGTGTAAAAATATTAAAATTACCTTTAGTCCTTTAGGTTCTGAAAAGGTGAACTGTCAATCTCATTTTATTCATATTCAGACCTAAGGGAGCTACCATTTGATTTTTATGGGGGGGCTAGGATGAAAAATTTTGTCCTGCATTTTTTTTTTAGTTGTAATCTCTGTCCTGCCTTTTTATTTTTCACTTTATTCGGTCCTGCCTTTTTTTTTAAAGTTTATCCTGACTTTTTTTTACCTAAATTGTCATCCTGCCTTTTTTTTTACTCAAAACTCCAGTCCTGCCTATTTTTTTCAAATTTCATCCTAGCCCCCCCATAAAAATCAAATGGTAGCTCCCTAACTTTATTAGATTGACATTTACTGAATACAAATTCAGGAATAGATTACGTCAGCTGTATTTAGAAAAACCTTTCGACATTTTTGGTCCTCAATGCTATTCTTCTTTATCTACCCTTTTTTAACATTTTTGATTCAAGTGTCACTGATTAGTCTTTTGTAGACAAAGCACACTTTTGGCGCACAACATTTGAATCCTGGTATCTATAATGAGTTTATTCACAAATATAATTGTTTTATAGGTAACATAATTCTGCATCTGTTTACACCTGAGACTAGAGAATTATATGATTTAGAGAGTTTATGGACGGTAGGAGAGAAGTATGACGACAAATGTCAGGAAATTGAAGACGAATTCGGTCTACAACAAACAGACTTGGATTGGCTCAAGCAACTGGATTTAGAATTGACATCGGACAGAAACACTTCTTAATACGACAAACAGACTTGGATTGGCTCAAGAAACTAGATTTAGAATTGACATCTGTCAGAAAAACTTCTTAATACAACAAACAGACTTGGATTGGCTCAAGAAACTGGATTTAGAATTGACTACGGACAGAAACACTTCTTAAGACAACAAACAGACTTGCATAATTAAAATCTCTGATTTAAATTTGACATCTTCAGGAAAAACTTAATTTTCAAAACTGAGCTTTTGAGGCAATTATATTCAAATATTTGACATCAGTCAACTTTTGTAAACATGAATTTTGTTAAACAAAAAAGTAGTTAAACGGGGAAAAAATGTATTGTAATCATGGTAATAAAGGCATACTGACAGATTAACTCATTAAGTCTTTTTCGTGGCATTGACAAAGTCACAGAGGAAAGACGGCATGCTTGATAAAGTTTAAGGACTATTAACATATCAGTTTTATTTGGTATGCAGTTGTTAAAAAGGTCTAAATACCCAGCTAATGATTTTGATATTCAATAACCGGCCCTTCTGTCGGTTAAACAGTTAAGCAATTAATCGTTCACAACACTAATTATTAAATAATGCATCAAGCTTTATCTGGTTATTCCTTGTTTTCAGTTCCTGCAATGTCCTACTCTCTGTTTCTGAAAACTTCAAAGGGGTGGAATAATTAACAAGCTTCAGCTCACAGTAAATCTTAGATTTTTTAGATCTCAATGATGATATTATTATGATAAAATTGTATAAATAATAAAATTTTATTGCAAAAATAGGAACAAGTACTGTTGTAAATATAAAATAAGAATATAAATTATTATTGCCGATAGCACAACTATGCAAAGAGACAAAATGAAGCTGATCTTAGCAACTACAGGTAACTGTAACAGAGACCAAAACCAATACTGTATGGTCAGCTGTAAAAGGCCCTAAAATGACAAAATATGAAACAATTCAAATGATAAAAACAAGTCAGTCAGTCTTCTTAGCGCTCTCATGTGTACAATTCTTGCCAGATTTTTATGAAACTTATATTATAGGTTTATATCAGCAATATCTTAGATGAGTTTGAAAATCAGCGTGGATCAATTATTTTTAAGCAAGTAATGCCCTTGGGAACGTTAATTATATGGAAAATTGCATCATTAGTGCTTTCATTTTTGTCGAGCCTCCACAAATATTCACTCTGTGGTTAAAGTTTTTGAAATTTTAATAACTTTCTTAAACTATCCTGGATTTCTACCAAACTTGGACAGAAGCTTGTTTATGATCATAAGATAGTATCCAGAAGTAAATTTTGTAAAAATAAAATTCCATTTTTTCCGTATTTTACTTATAAATGGACTTAGTTTTTCTGCCGGGAAATATTACATTCACTCTGTGGTTAAAGTTTTTAAAATTTAAATAACTTTCTTAAACTATCCTGGGTTTCTACCAAACTTGGACAGAAGCTTGTTTATGATCATAAGATAGTATCCAGAAGTAAATTTTGTAAAAAAAAAAATCCATATTTTCCGTATTTTACTTTTAAATGGACTTAGATTTTCTGCCAGGAAACAACACATTCACTCTGTGGTTTAAGTTTTTAAAATTTTAATAACTTTCTTATACTATTTTGGATTTGTACCAAACTTGGACAGAAGCTTGTTTATGAACAAAAGCTAGTATCTAGAAGGAAATTTTGTAAAAAAATAAATCCATTTTTTCCGTATTTTACTTTTAAATGGACTTAGATTTTCTGCCAGGAAACAAAACATTCACTCTGTCGTTAAAGTTTTAAAAATTTTAATAACTTTCTTATAATATTTTGGATTTGTACCAAACTTGGACAGAAGCTTGTTTATGATCAAATGCTAGTATCTAGAAGGAAATTTTGTTTTCTTCCAGTTAACATTACATTCAGTCTGCAGTTAAAGTTTTTAAACATTTATTAGATTCATAAACTATCCTGGATTTTTACCAAACTAGGACAGAAGCTTCTTACAATCAAAAGATATTATCAAGAGGAATATTTTTATTGATTTACTTCCTCATTTTTGTTGAGCCTGCGATTAACAGAAAAAGTAGGCGAGACACTGGGTTCCGCGGAACCCTTACGAATTTTTACAATTCTTGCCAGATTTTTATGACACTTATATCATAGGTTTATATCAGCAATGTTTTTAACGAGTTGAAAAATCAGTGCCGATCAATTATTTTTAAAAAAGTTATGCCCATTGGAAATTTTAAATATGAATATTGCCTTGTGAGAGCCCTTATGTGTACAATTCTTGCCAGTTTTTTATGAAACTGATATATATATAGAGGTTTATATCAGTAATGTCTTGGACGAATTCGAAAATCAGTGCTGATCAATTATTTTTAAAAGAGTTATGCCCTTGGAAACATTAATTATATGGAAAATTGCATCGTTTGCACTCTCATTTATACAATTCTTTAATTTTTATGAAACTTATATCATAGTCCGTCCGTCCGTCTGTCTGTCCGGCGTAAACATGTCGCACCGTAACTTGAGAATGACTTATCCAAATTTCATGAAACTTAATATAGTTGTTTCTTATGATGGTCAAAGGATCTTTATACTTTTTGGTGAAAATAAAATTAAAACTTTTTGAGTTACGGGACTTAGTAACTAAAACAGGTGTGTGTTTTTTTTCACATGTCGTGCTGTATCTCAAAAACAATTTATGATTATTGCTTAAAACTTTACACACTTCTTAGTTATATTAATCTTAAGATCTGTATACTTTTTGGTGATGATTCAAAATTATTTTAGAGATATTGAGTATTTTGTTAAAAAAGGGGGAGGGGTTTTTCACATGTCGCGCCGTATCTCAAAAACAGTTTTTGATTATTGCTTAAAACTTTACACACTTCTTAGTTATATTAACCTTAAGATCTGTATACTTTTTGGTGATGATTCAAAATTTTATTTTTGAGTTATTGAGTATTTTGTAAAAAAAGGGGGAGGGGTTTTTCACATGTCGCGCCGTATCTCAAAAACGATTTATGATTATTGCTTAAAATTTTACACACTTCTTAGTTACATTAATCTGAAGATCTGTATACTTTTTGGTTTTGATTCAAAATTTTATTTTTGAGATATTGATTTTTTTTTTTAAAAAGGGGGTTTTCATATGTCGCACCGTATCTCAAAAACGATTTATGATTATTGCTTAAAATTTTACACACTTCTTAGTTATATTAATCTAAAGATCTGTATACTTTTTGGTTTTGATTCAAAATTTTATTTTAGAGATATTGAGTTTTTTGTAAAAAAAAAAGGGGGTTTTCGCATGTCACGCTGTATGTCAGAAACTATTTATGCTTATTGCATAAAAATTCACACACAAGACGACGGGCGTATCATGCGCTCATGGCGCAGCTGTTTATTTATGAAACTTATATAGGTTTATATCAGTTATGTCTTGGACAACTTCAAAAATCAGTGCTGATCAATTATTTATAAAAGAGTTATGCCCCTTGGAAACATTAATTATATGGAAAATTGCATCTTTAGTACTCTCATTTGTACAATTCTTTCCAGATTTTTATGGAACTTATATGATAGGTTTATATCAGCAATGTCTTGGACGAGTTCGAAAATCAGTGCAGATTAATTATTTTTAAAAGAGTAATGCCCCTTGGAAATATTAATTATATGGAAAATTGCATCGTCAATGCTCTCATTTGTACAATTCTTGGCAGATTTTTATTAAACTTATATCATAGGTTTATATCAGCAATGTCTTGGACGAGTTTGAAAATGAATGCAGATCAATCATTTTAAAAAGAGTTATGTCCCTTGGAAATTTTAATTATATGGAAAATTGCCTTCTGAGCGCTCTAATTTGTACAATTCTTGCCAGATTTTCTAGAAACTTATATTATAGGTTTATATCAGCAATGATTTGGACAAGTTTGAAAATCAGTACCTATCAATCATTTTTTTCAAGTCTGCGACTTTTGTCGCAAAAGCGAGACATAGTGATCCTACATTCCGTCTTTGGCATCTTCGTTGTCGGCGACGGCGGCGTCCACAAATATTTACTCTGTGGTTAAAGTTTTTGAAATTTTAATAACTTTCTTAAACTATCCTGGATTTCTACCAAACTTGGACAGAAGCTTGTTTATTATCATAAGATAGTATCCAGAAGTAAATTTTGTAAAAAAAAATCCTGTTTATCCGTATTTTACTTATAAATGGACTTAGTTTTTCTGCCAGTTAACATTACATTCACTCTGTGGTTAAAGTTTTTAAAATTCTAATAACTTTCTTAAACTATCCTGGATTTCTACCAAACTTGGACAGAAGCTAGTTTATGATCAAAAGCTAGTATCTAGAAGGAAATTTATATCATAGGTTTATATCAGCAATGTCTTGGATGAGTTTGAAAACTAGAGGCTCTCAAGAGCCTGTGTCGCTCACCTGTATTTACTGATGCTTTGAAAATCATGTAAAATAAGGTTAAAATCATAATTAATAGTATTAGATATTAAATATTATAATGATATCTAAGATAATAACAAAAAACTGCAAAATATTTGTAAAATTACAAACTCAGGGGCAGCAACCCAACAACGGGTTGTCAGATTCGTCTGAAAATTCCAGGGCAGATAAATCTAAATCTGATGAACATTTTTGCCACCTGTCAGATTTCCTCTAAATGCTTGAGTTTCAGAGATATAAACCAAAAACTGCATTTTACCCATATGTTCTATTTTTAACCAAGTCGGCCATGATGGTTGGAAGGCGGGGTCATCGGACAAATTTTTTAAACTAGATACCCTAATAATGATTATGGCCAAGTATGGTTAAATTTGTATCAGTAGTATCAGAGAAGAAGATTTTTGTAAAAGATTACAAAAATTTACGAAAAATTGTTAAAAATTGACTCTTAAGGGCAATAACTCCTAAAGGGGTCAACTGACAATTTTGGTCATGTCAACTTATTTGTAGATCTTACTTTGCTGAACATTATTGCTGTTTACAGTTTATCTCTATCTATAATAATATTCAAGATAATAACCAAAAACTGCAAAATTTCCTTAAAATTACCAATTCAGGGGCAGCAGCCCAACAACAGGTTGTCAGATTTGTCTGAAAACTTCAGGGCAGATAGATCTTGACCTGATAATCAGTTTTACCCTTTGTCAGATTTACTCTAAATGCTTTGGTTTCAGAGATATAAGCCAAAATCTACATTTACCCCTATGTTCTATTTTTAGCCATGACGGCCATCTTGGTTGGTTGGCGGGGTCATCGGACACATTTTTCAAACTAGATACCCTAATGATGATTGTGGCCAAGTTTGGTTAAATTTGGCCCAGTGGTTTCAGAGGAGAAGATTTTTGTAAAAGCTAACGACGACGGACGACGGACACCAAGTGATGAGAAAAGCTCACTTGGCCCTTCGGGCCAGGTGAGCTAATAAGTTCTGATCAAATACTTTTAACGAATTATGCCCCTTGGAAATATTAATTATAGCGGAAATCACATTACATTTGCTCTGAAGCCTTCATTTCTCTAAGATATTTATAAAAAGTGTTTTTTTGTTGTTATTGCCCTTGTACCTGGGAAAGAATATGTGCAACGTTGGGGACATTGGAACTCTTGTTCTTTTATTAATTGTTTTTTTTTTTTCTCCTTAAATGTATTATAATATAATGTTTGCAATATTCCAATCTTTTTTATAATCATGACATATTCGTTCATTTTGATTATAATAATTAGACGAA